AGCTTTCTGTAGAAAAGAGGTGTCAAAAAGTTTCTTTGTACCTTTAACGCATGTGATTATGTAGTACAAAATGCAGAGTTTGTAAAATTTCCTGAATATACAGGCAAAAAAATGAATAATTCAAAACATCTCATAAGTTCTACATTCTATTGTCCCTTTCTAACACAGGCAGAAGATAGGAGTGCACTCCCAGTAGAGCTGAATTTGCACAAGTTACACCTCTGGAAATGCCAGATGGTCTATGGTCTACTTTTGAGAGCTGTCACATACGTAAAGATTTGAAAAAAGAAAGACAGCTGAATGAGAGCAGCGGATCATTAAAGAGAGAGTGAGGGTCCCTAGACATCACTTGTGTTTTAAGAAGCATTGTGTCGTTCCATATTAGCGTGCTTTTTTTTTTTAAAGCCATATACAACTTCCACACAGTAAGGAAAATAATTTGTTTAACACCAAAAACTTCTGGTTTAGTCAGTCAGGCACTTTGATTCTTTATTCAAAAATAAAACCACGTTTCCTACTTAATTTTAATTGTAATTTTACCATGAGTTTGAAATCATCCCGATTAAAATGGATCAACCAAGTTGAATTTCATGTCTGTTGATGTAACTTATATATAGGGCTTATCTAGTTTTGATTCGACTTTTTGCACCCACCTGGAAAAATTGACTAAAAATAGTTTTAAATTTTTTAAATGTTAAAACACTGAAAGAAGAGATAATACTTGGTTACCTGACCATAATACAAAGCACAGTAAAAATAATTAAGTGATGCTGAAACAAAACCAATGAGCTCTCATTTTTCTGGCAACAGAAACAAATGATTTTGAGGATTGAAATGTAAATAAATCATTAAAAATATGTTATAGTATCCTTCCAGCTATACCCAGTAATTTACAGAGTCAATTTTCATCTTAGGAAAAAGGTCGAATCTGTCAATTTTAGAATTTGGTGGCAAGACACTGTTGTCTTTTACAATTTTGCTTTTATTTGTTGAGAATGTTTAACTATTAAATAGTATTCTACATTTATCTTAAACTGTGGAATATAATGGTACAGTTTTGATTGATAAAGAGTATCCCAAACACTGGTCAGTGATGTTTTGACTTTCCCATGCTCCCTGATTGCTTAAACTGTTCTTTTTAGAGAAAAAGTGACCTAAAACATTACCTATATTTGGAGAGATCACTGAAAAGTGCTCTGAAAAGAATACCACACAGTGTTAGGTTTAACTGTCTTCTTTGGCATCCTTTTTAATGAATATGCATAACTAGCAGTCTCAATAGCAGTCATTAGAATGTCACCTTAGCTGATTCAAGAAGTTATGAGAGTAGCAAATTAATCTTTAAATCGAACCCTTGCACACCCATATGAAATGCATCTCCAGTTTTACATGCCTTGATTTGTAGATTTTGGTCATGAGAAGGGTGACATATATCTTTGGTAAATAACCTTTTCTCTTGTTTCCTTTTCATTTGAACTTAGGGGAAAGAACTCTGCTGGATTTTATTACCATTATTTAGGGCTTCTCAAACAATTTCTTTTTAGACAGTCTTTCTCCTTTGTTATCACTATAGAATTGAAAAACTATAAGATCATCATATGTGCATTTTACAAATCAAATGTTAATGGACGCAGCATGAAAGGACACTGTGAAAAAATGAATATTGAATGGTTTGATACGTTGTTTTTCTTCATAAAGAAGAAAAAATTAAAGAATGGTGTGCTAAATATTTTCTGAAATACATACTTTTTGTCAAAAATATTACCAAGCCTTAACTACTCCTCAGATTATAATGATCAGTCCCCTTTGGAAATTTATGAGCATTATCTCACTCCAGAAAGAAAGGCTGCTATCAAGAAATCAACCAATAACAAATGCTGGTGGGGTGTGGGGAGAAAGGAACCCTTCTTCACTGCTGGTGGGAGTGCAGACTGGTGCAACCACTGTGGAGATTTCTCAAAGAACTTAAACTAGAGGTTCTTTTTGACCTAGTTGTACCTCTTCATGGTATCGTCCCAAAATAATTAAAAACATCATACCACAGCAATATAAGCACACCTGTGTTTATAGCAGCAATGTTTGTAATAGCTAAATCTTGGAAACAGCCCAAATGCCCATCAGCTGAAGAGTGGATAAAGATGTGGTTTTTTTTAAAAAAATTTTTATACAATGAAATATTACTCTACCATAAATAAGGATGAACTTGTACAGTTATAGCTGGAGAGACCGTGAGACCGAGACCATACTCTTAAGTGAAATAAATCAGACACATATGTTTAGATACTGCATTGTTTCTCTGGCGTGAAAACCTGAGTGTGGAAATAGAGACAGATGTGTAATGGATGTTGCGAAATGGGAAGAAAGTGTTCAGATGGGAAGGGGAGCAAGGGAGGAGGGAGGGAGAGAGGAACAAAGGAACAAGGAAAAAAGTGAAAATCGGAGGAAAAAATGGAAAAGCTTTTGTACATGGGGAGGGGAGGGAGTTTGGGGGGAGAACGGGATAAAATAAAATAGCATTTTTTAAAAAAGCATCACATATTCTTCAAAAGCTTTGCCTGCAGTACTTTTTCTATTGCACAGCTTTTCATGTGATATTTAGTTCTTAGGTCAGAGTTGTAGTAGTCATATAATTTACATTTTATAATGGTTCATACGCCTGAACAGACTAAAAAAGCAGCTTAAGATTTTGAAATTCCAAGAAAACTGAGAAATAGTAAAATTTCCACACTGGACATTGTGTGCTCTTCTTGTTGTTTTTCATGGTGTTTTTGTTGAAAAGCTATGATTTAGCTTTGCTTAAGATCTACCCAGTAAAATAATCTCATTACTTAACCAGATACATGTTATGGGGGGAGGGTGTCAGAGATTGTAGCTGCAAAAACCAGAATCCGTCTTCACTCATTCGTATAGAGAATATATTTGTTAGCAGTACATGTTCTCTCTGAGACACAGCGGAGGATTCATTCAATAGATGTTCTTTAATGAAAACCCCACTGGTCACATTAGGCCGCTGATCTACTAGAAAGCAGACAGCAGAAGGGGCAGCCTCACTGTGTAGGCCAACAAATGGCTTTCCGCTGACTGCTGAGAAACTCCACATCCCCAGGGTGGCTGACACCTCACACCAGTCACGTTCTGCACTCGAACTCTGCTTAACATCTCATATGCTATAACACAAAGTTTATCTCAGTTTTCTATTGAAAATTTGGTTCATACACCTGGCGGCAGAGGACTCAGGATGGGATACAGGAGTCTATCGAAATGGATATTTTCAGAAATACTCAGCAATATAAATGATGAAAATTCATCCTGTTTGTTTTAGGATTTATTGTTCAAAGAATCAAATTGAGGGCCAGGGATTTAGCTCAGTGGTTCTGCCTCCTGCCTCACAAGTACAAGGTCCCGAGTTTGATCCCCAGTACCAAAAAAAAAAAAAAAGAAGGGAATTAAATTGATATGCTTTTCTTACTATCATGCTATTAAAATAGACTCCTATATATTTTCACATTGAAGACTTTTGCTTTTCATATATTGGTGTTTAATAGATTAGGAGTTTGTTTGCACGAGGTGTATATGCACATGTCCGCACACACACCTTCACACCTGGATTCCACGGACCGATTGGCTATGTCTGTGTCGCCGGTCAGTGCCACGCTGGAGTCACTGTCATTTTCTAAGAAGGTTACATAGCTAATACATTAAGTTCCATCACCACCCTTTTCTACCTTAAATTTTCCTCTGTGATTCTTGATTATTCTTTCTTACTTTTGGATTGGCTTTTCAAGTTCCATAAATAAGCCAATTGAAAATGTTAGTGGGAATTGAATTAATGAAATAAACAAAAAAAATCAGCACATTAACATAATTAATATATTTATATTCTCCACTGGGCTTCTTGTATGCCTTTTTGTAATATTTGGCAACTTTTTGCAATAAAAATATCTACCCATTTTTACTTGAAGTTCAACCATTTACCAGAATTTTTGTTTTTTCGGGGAGGCCTTTGGGTTTTTCCTTCCTTCCTTCCTTCCTTCCTTCCTGTTTCTTTCTGCTTTCTTTTGCTAGGTGAAATAAAGTTTTTCTTATATATTTGCTGATTTCTGTTGGCACATTGGAATATTGCTGATTTTTTTCACAGCTGATTCTGTGTAAGTCTCAATAAATTCTTAATTTTTGAGATTTTTATAATCTCGTAGACTATCTCAAAATATTCAGATCTGTGCACAGCTTGACAGTTTTGTTTTTTTCCTTTCCAGAATCCAGACCTATTTTTTTCTTTCCTTTCCTTCTTGCTTTGCCAGAACTTCCTGTGTAATGTTGCACAAGAGAAGTGAAGGTGTGCGTCCTTTGGTTGGATGGGGCCCAAACAAGAGCCCTCAAAAGGATGTTTACTTTTGGTAGCTATGTTGCATCAGAATTAAACAACTCTCCTATTTTAACTTAACTTTTCATAAGTCATTTATTTTGAAAATCTAAAGAATAAATATAGAAAATATTTTCTTTGTAGGATTTATAAAAAAGAATAGCATATTCCTCTGTAGTGCTTTCTTTATTGCCCAGCTTTGACTTCTTGAATTAAGTGTTGCTTTCACTTCAAAAGGATTGCCATATCATTAGTAGGAGTATTAGAATAATATCGGTGAATCTGTAGCACCCAAAAGAGGTCTCAGAGTCTAGAAAATAATAAACTTTTGCTGATGAGTGTTGATTTATTCTTCAAATTTCTAATTTAACTATCCTTTAAAAATACCAAAAATACAGATTTTCTACTCTACTTTTTATATCTTTGTGTAAAGTGACTTTTAAATTCTATTCCTATTTTTCTTTTTAATGACTTCGTTTCCTTTCTTCCTGATTCCCTTTTTCCTTTCTTTTCCTCTTCAGTTTTAGTATCATGAGTAAAATCTTAAATCTCAGGTACTGACTGCATTTTCATCATTATAAAATAGCAATTTTTTTTTCTTTTTTAACTGGATGAACTTTTCCTGTTTTTCCTTTAGCCCAACCTCAGCGCTTGCCTCTGCTGCAAACTTCAGCACAGGAACCGGGTGAAGAGGAAATAGGCAAGATAAAGAAAGGAGGCCAAGCAAATCTGAGCAATGGCAATGGAATTCACCATGGGGCCAAGCATGCATCTGCAGAAAATCACAAACTTTCAGCTCCTGTTTCTCAAAAAATGCATAGAAAAATTCAGTCCAGCTTATCTGTAAATAATGATATCAGTAAGAAGAGCAAAGTAAATGCTGTCTTTTCCCAAAAGACAGGCTCTTCACCTGAAGGTAAGTTTGAAATCTATGCATATTTTATTTGACTGGATACAAAAATCATATCCACTGGTAATAATTTGATCAAGCAAACAAACAGAAATGTTTGTAAAATGCCTCTTAACTTCCTCAAAGGTAAGTACAAGACAGAAAAGGAAGATTTGGAAGCTGATATCCTGCTTTTAGATTATTGTCTTCCAGAGCGAGTAGTCATCACTACTTCAAATGTAACTGCTATACCTATTCAATGACACATTTTCAAATATGCACACAGCATTTTGGAGGCATGTATGAGTACCTGTACTTTTTTCCCTCGTCAATGCAGTATATCATTCAGTACTGCAGATAGGATGACTTGCTTGTATTTTTGTCTTGCAAATCACTTCTTACATATGCAAAGCTCAAATGAGAAAATGATTAGATAATTGTCTGGCTCTTGCCAGGCAATATTTATTGCCTGCTGCCCTTTGTCCTCCAGCCTACCCACTGCCTCTGCCACGCCCACTCCTCCCCCTTCCAAGCTTGCTGTGCTCTTCTGTCCTCCTTGGAGACATTTGATTGTGGTCTCCAATCTCTGAGAAGCCAGTTATTACCTCTTTGCTTCTCCCTCATTTTAACCTCAGCCAGAATAAAGTCCAGTTAAATCCTGTGAACCTGAGAAAGCGTTTTCTTAGTTATGAAACAAAGCGGTATGATGGTGGTTAATCTTCAGATTCTTTTTCTAAGGTTCGTTATATCATATGAAAGACAAAAGATTCCTCCCACAGTCAAGGTTCCAAATTTTTCCCAACATGCCCTTTGCTCTTCTGCCTTTCCCCTGTTACCAGTTCTTGGGAAATGTAAAACCTTGAAAAAAAAAAATATATATATAGTCTTATTCCCTTTACTTTTCCATTGTATTTGTCAGGGAATCTTAAATAAAGAAATTTCTGTGGGATGCCTCTGTGTAGTTGGCCATGCCTATTCATAGAGGTAAATTGAGTTGTAAATAGGAAATTGTATTGAGATTTACCAGTAATGAGTGGGAGAAAGGATATTACATTTTGGCTACAGGAGTCTTAAACTCAACTGAGGCAAAGTGTTAGGTTGATCAAATGATATGATAATAAATGGTCTGCATAGTTCTAGGTCAGTGACACTACTTTCCAAACTAATTAGATTGAAAGGGACATGATTGACATTTTAAAATGAGTTTGACAAGTGAGCTGCGTGGTCATCTCTGAAGTGTAGGTAGGCTGTTAACTAAACTGGCTCTCCAAGGAGTTGAGAAGGCGATGCAATTTTCTTTAGAGGATCTTCACTTCTAGGTGATGGGGTGAAATAATGGAACACAATTGAAATCTACTTGTTTTATACATTTGAATTTACTTATAATGCCCCTCACCTCTTATTTTCCATTTGATATTTACTTATTTTAGTATTAAAGCATAGTAACATTTGCATATCAATCTGCCTTGAAATACATATAGAATTTTTCATTATTGCTTGGTTTTAATATCATCTCTGAGTTTATTTCTAATGTAAGAATACAGATTCATAAGTAACATATGAAGTGCATGAAAAATCAACGCTGTATGATTAAATATAATTTACTCTTCATCTTTTCTTGCCCCTTTTACCCATTCTTAGTCTCCCGTCCTTTTCCTCTTCTTCTCTCTCATCCTCGTTCCTAATTATGACTGACCACAAAGACCTCCATAAACGGAGACCTTGTAATCTGTTCTTACAACAAAATAATATTTCAAGATTCAGTTGCAAATACGAAGAGTATAAAAGAGAAATGAAAGCATCTCAATATATCCTATCCGTACCTTCTCAACAGAGAAGGCCACAGGATTTAGCTAATTTGGAGTTTCTTTTGTGAGTATTTGAATCTAGATTTTAAAAATCCTTGTTCTAGTTCATGCTTCCTCATTGGATGTCTTCAAGATACTTGTCGCTATTTAAAGTCTGTGCCTCATTATTTTGTTATTTCTTCTGATTTTCATTTTTGAAGTTAATTTTACTCTCTGGCAGTGTGCTGTGGAACCCGCCGCTCCACCCCACCACAAAAAAAAACATCCAAACAAACAAACAAGCATATTCACTGAACTAATAGATGACAGATTAAAAGGAAAATATCCACTAGCCTAGGGATGTTGTTTATCTAGGACTGCTATAAAATTTAGGGTTTTGACTAGACAGTTTGAAAGTTGATTTGGAGATTGTATGAGTCTCTTTTTATAGCAAAGTTGCTTCCCTTTCAGGACAAGTCTTTTGTTCTATAGAACATCTAGGCCTTATTGTAGGAAATCTAAAACATTCTGAGCCTTACCAGACAATGGCAAGAAGGGTTTTGTTGGACTGGAATAGTGCCTGATGCTAGGAGACTTTGAAATCAGAACAGTAGATTTTGAACAGGCTTAATTTGTTATGTAAATAAAAATGGATAGGAATTTCTTTTTAAAGAGCAGTAACAATGATAGCATTTAATGGGTAGACTTTGCTCAGTTTTCTGTTTTCTATTTCACAGTTGTTTAAAGTCTTCGTCCTCTGTACCTGCTCTCCTGATGGCAAATGAACAAACAATCGTAAAGTCATACTATTTTGAAAAACCCCTAAGCAGCTAACTGCTGGGCATGGTGGCACATGCCTGTAATCCTGGAACTTGGGAGGCTGAGGCAAGAGGATTGCTGTGAGTTTGAGGCTAGGCTGGGCTACACAGTGAGTTCAAGGTCAGCCTGAACTGCATAGTGAGATCCTGTTTTTTTAAAAAAAGCAGCTAGCTATGTCTGCTTTGACTGTTATTTTTGTTTGCATGATGCTTGTGATCGGCAACTTGAACATTTTCCTGGTTTGGATGATGGAATTACGTATTTAACTATTTTACAGTGATTCATTAAAAGCACTAAGGGCCTTTGCTGACCAAATGTGGAAAGCATTGTTCACTTGTGGGCCCATTGTATGTTTCAAGGTAAGGACCGAACCAAGTATATAACTGAATCTGAGAGTCAGTGAGGTCAGTGAGATATTTGAATGTTTCTTTAACTGTGGGTTACCAATTCCTTAGTGCAAACGGGCACATCCTCCCGTAGAGTTCCTTAGACACTTTAACCTGGATGGGTTCGAGGCGCCGTGGGTCTATCAGAGACTGTGCTGCCTACTTCAGTCACGTGGACTCATTAATCCTCCCAGGGATAGTGAACTCAACTGTGTTATGAGGTTATAAGTTTCCTCTAAGCAAAAGGCTATTTACTGTCCATTGCAATATTCCATCAGAGGTTAACGGCAATCCACTGTGAGCCAGACGGGGCTCTTCTTAGTATACATTTGCTTTCTTCAAGCTCTTTCTGTGACCATTTTAAAAACAACTCACACCTGTGTGCTGTGTTTGTTTTTGTCCCCTACTAAATTTCGAATTCCTGAGAATTTTGAACTGGGTCTGAGACTTCTTTGTTTTCCTTTTAATTTATAGCAGCACCCAGCTTAATGGCTTCACAGAATTTCCCATGAGTTAATAAGTGATATAATGCTTCATTCTAAGCCACTATATCCTGTTCTTTTTTAAACTAGCACTGGAAAATAAAAATGTATGCTCATATTCCCTGAAATATGTTCTTTTCAAAAGTTCTCTTTTTGCAATAGAGGGAAAAATATTCATGTGGGAAAATACTGTACATTTTACTTAAAGGTTATTAAATTAGTAGGTTTCTACTTGTTTTGTATAATTAAATATTTTCATACATACTTAAATTTTCTGATTGCATCACCCAGGTGGAGAGTTTTAAAACTAACTATGTAAGATTCTTGACCTTTGAAATAATTATACTATAATTTAGTATCATATAATATTCAAATTACCAAGGATTTTCATTAGACTCTAAGACATTTTATCCTAGGAATGGTAAATTCTAACGTAAGTTGGGGTGTTCCAGTTATAGCTACATACTTCGTAAAAATTAAGTTTTGAGAAAAATAATTTTAAAGAGATTGAATAATTTTCAGAAATATTTGGTAGTTGATTTATACTCCACATGTAATATTCTGGGGTTAGACTTTATAGAGAAGTCCACATCTAATTTTGCCTTTCACTGAACATAAAGGCTGAACAAAACAGTAAAGATCATTGTGTACATAGTGGTAATGAGGGTCTCACATTGAGGCAGCGTCGCCCAGTGGTTTAGAACACAGATCCTGGGAGCCATTCTGCTCAGATTTACATGTTGGCTTTATCACCACCCTCTGCTGTTGACTTCACTTCTTTGTGCTTCGGTGTCCTATCTTTCAAATGGGGAGGTTCTTACTTCACAGGACTGTTGTGAAGGAGAATCGAGCTGGTGCTCCTTCGTCGTGGGAACACAAGCCAACCCAGCTGAAATATTCAGTAAGTCTTAGCTGGGATGATAGCCATCATGATTAAAGAACACAGAGAGGTCCGTGGTGTGTGCTTTCTGCAAAGGCAGTGACTGAGTGGGGGACCTGAAAGACAGGGAAGAAGCTTGTGTATTTTTTTTTTAAATGTGTTTTCTTTCCTCTCCTTCTTACTTGTAGCAGATACTACAACCTGTTGCGCACCTACACTCCGGTTGCCTTTACAGTATTCCTTTTGTTCTTTACTAGTGAACCATTTCCATAACTAAAAGGATGAATGAATTTTAAACTTGTTGAGCTTGGGATGCTAACAAGTTCCTCTAGAAGCATTTGGACATATGGATGAAGTTAACCTAGGCCTTATTTTACTGTTTCTGTTGTCTATCATCTTTTCATTCATTAATTTTATTGGTACATTTTAAGTATACAATATGGTGAAATTCATCACTGGGAATTTGTACCTTTACATGATATACCTTGGTTCTTATTTTTTCCCCATTCCCCTGCCCTCTCTTCAGCCCCTCCATCCTTCCCTATTTATGAAGACTTTGTTTCCATGTTTTCCTTTCCCATGCCCCTTCTAGTTCCCCTTCTGCTTTAGAACTTTTCTTTGTATTTCACAAACTATTCCCTTTGGTTTTGGCCTCCATGATCTTCTTCCATCT